TTGTCAACACCAATGCCGCCCATTTCCTTAACAAACGTTAATTAATACCTGTGCATCTTTCTTGCAGTAGTCCTTTGACTTTTAGGCTTCATGAAAAGCTAAAACACATTCAGAAGTGAGCTGAACTCCTTCAATATTAATATGGCTTACAAACTGATTAATCTTACTTGTAGCTCAAGGAAACAAATCCCCAAGCTATGCAATCTGTAGAGGCGAACATACACAGTGCATGACTGTGAACAGGACATCTACGGAGGAAGGAGATATTTCGTTCTGCCGTGAAACCTGCGCAAAGGAAAGAGGTCTGGTCTTTTTTAATGTATGCGCCTCCTCTGTGTGATGGTAATTTTGTCTGGAGTCATGTAATATGCCAAATGTTCTCTTCATATTATTAAGCTCAGCGAAATCTCGAATTCTTATTTTCTCATCGTAAGGGGACATCACAGAGACAATGCAAGTCTACTACTGTGGAGGTCCCGACCAGTCTTGCAGTAAATACGACGTTTCGGGACGACAGGGATATAAGAAAAACTTCGAGTGGCATTTGATGTGTCTCAACGTTTGTCACTTTATCTCTGAAGGTAAGGTGATCTACTAAACCTCTGCCTAAAACGTAAAGCTGTTGTTTGAATGCTATGCATTTCACGAATTATTTAACAACCTCTGTATTTTACACGATCTTTTAGTCGAGCGCACCGATGCAAAATCCTTCAAACTCCGTCGAAACGATCATAAACGATGTGTTGCAATTGCGAGAAAGGACGAAAGTTTTCTTAGATTCGACAGCTGTGCTATCAGGTGTGATGGATGGGGTTATTGTGAGTTCTTGTTTGTTGCACAATAACACCTCCTCTTTAAAGTCAAGAACGGATGGTCATGTTGTCACAAATTATCTCTTTCTTCTAGTGGACACCACGAAGAAGCAAAGCGCCTACATCTGCAACGACAACGACACATGTCTCGAAGCGAACTACTTCATCAAGCGAAAGGGGAAGGGCGGTTTCTTCAGTCTATCAACCTGTTTAACTACCTGCATGTCAGGTAACTCCAAAACACAACTTCTGCATTAATAATTTGACGGGGATGATTTACCAATAACCAGACGCCTAAGATTGTTTTGAAATCAAAAAAATCTATAGTTACATATGATGGTGCAGTTAACTACCGTCGGGTCCTAGGTAGACTCATTGACTTTCAATTCCTTTCCATACTGTAATAATTAGCTTAATTGTATATCAAAGCATGACACTTCTAATGCATCAGGATATTTTCCTTTCAGCCTAAACATTTGCAACTATGCTTGGAAGATATTTCGTCAGTTATTGAATAATTTATTGTTTTTTTTCTCAACATCAAAAACGGTGCGGTTTGGGGTCAATGAACGCTATTTGATAAACAATAAATTGTTTCAAAACACACAAACCTTTACAAAAAAATCGTAGGCTATCACAAAACACAATGTCTCTACCAAATGATACGACATAGTAAGTGCAAAATACTTCTTTTAGGCTGCACTCACATCAGAGGTGATTTTAATTTTAAGCTTCAATGAAATGCGAACGCTTGTTATGTCATAGGATTCTGCAAATCGACGCCTTGTTTTCGCAAAATCAACATACGAATCGTCCTATTAAACCGGACACTAAGTTCTGTGCTCTTTGCGTCAACGTACAGACTTGAAACAAACAACTCTGCTAGGTTTGTAATTTAGAGCATTTTGGAATCATTGCTGACGCACCATGCTGAAAATTGAGGGCATTGTAAAAAAATTGGCATAACCAAAAGTAAAGTACGAACCGAAGTGCCGCGGAACTATTAAATGTAGACGAAATAATCAAACGATGCCTGCAAAAGAGTGTTAATTTTGTTTTCTTTTGTACGAAACTGTGGCACGTTAACCTACCCTCAACTTATAAGTGCATGTATAAAAAGTAAAAATAAAATAAAATAATAGGAGGAAGTCAAGGTCAGTAGAAAATGCTCTAAACCGATTCCAATAAGGTAATTTACTGAAATGAGGATTTCGTGTAAAATTTTATCAAACTCTATCCCGATTTAATTTTATTCGGAAGGTTAAATTAAGCAGTTTTCCACACTTGCGTATTGCAAAGTTAAAATCTATCATTTGGAAACAAAGTGAATACCCAAATATTTGGGAATGGAAAGTCAGACATTATTCCCTTGTATTTGCAGATGCCGCTAAGAGTCGTTATTTGTGCAGTCAACATTTCGCGGCAAATTGTAGTCTTAGCTACCTCAGCCCTGATGACAGCTGTCTAAATGTCGCTAGTATATTGAAGTAGGCTTTTCAAATATAGTAAGTAACAGCAGTGCTGGTGTGATTTTTAACAGACCAGTTTTGTTGCACCTAATTAATATTTAATGAAGTTGCTTCCGCAGAATCGACCTCCACGTCTCCTTCCATGTCCATCAGGCTCAGATGGGTTGGCTGGCCGGGTAACAAGAATTACACTATTGCAGGAATCGTGGAGGATTAAAAAAGGCATTTAATACTTTTGTGATGACGAGTCTGGTTAGGTCAGGTAGGTATATGGGGTCGACTGTAACTGCGACGTTGGAATATGCCTCCGTATGTTAGTTAGTGCACACAATTAATTGTCTTGTATGTAAACTAATACTGAGTACGTGTATTGAGGAATTACGCATTAGGCATCGCTACATTCAAAGGTCTTGAGGTTTAGTGAGACGCAGACAGATGCATAGCTAAGGACATCCAAAGCAAATAGATTTAGAAATATCCGCTCGCATCATCAGTACATAGTGCGTCTGCCGCGCCTGTCTAACCAAAAAAACCTAGTCAATGAGTAGTATGTGAGGAAATATAGCCTTAACACCATGCGATCAACACAGACAAATACATTTATGAAGTAAATTGCCTGGAGTTGTGTTCTAGAGACTTTATTTTCTTATAAATGTTCAATAGTCAAGACGAAACAAAATAAGACGCAAGCAATGCCCAGTCTCTCTACATAAGCGCTTGTTAATACGAGCAGCTTATTAAACACTAGAACCTCTGCGTCGCACCTACGTCAGTGCAAGACAAATTGTGCTGGCTTAACCGTACATTTCCCTCAAGTAGTGCCTAAGATTCCAGACACATTTTTTCACGGATCTTGCGTTATTTCCCAAAGCGGATGTGATCAGCAAGGCACGCCAGTGTGATCGCCAACTCGCTCCGCGTTCTTCCTGGCACATGACCATGTCCTCAATGATAAACATTTTGATTTTCTCAATCATGAACATTTTAATTCTCGCAGAATATAGATTCATTTTTAAGATATGGCCACTGACTTGTCGTCCGCCGGTTAATGTCACTTTTGGAAAACTTCGTTAGTTTTAGAAGATTACATCTTAGACCACAGCACAGCTAACTCCAAAATATCCCCAGGCCGAAGAAAATAAACTGTTATCTCTCTGTTACCATTTGCAATGAATAAGGTCGATCAGCGAAATAAAAACCACTTTACAATAAATGCAGTCAAGCACCCAAATCACTTGCCAGTCGATGGGCACTAAGGTCTGTGCCGTTGATCAGTACATCACAGCAAACGACCGGTCAGCATTTGTTTGGAAAGTAAAACAAATAGGACCATCTTGGGTCTGAATAGGCACTATGCATGTTACATTAAAATGGCATAACGCTAGTATGAAAAGTGTCAGTTCTGTTTTTTAAAGTTCATTTAATTTTGGGGGAGGTGTTCGTGCACGTTACAAACAGTTTTAACGTTGACAAGAAGATATCATGCGGAACATAATCAGAAATGTTCAGCGGAACAGAATTGGCATGCAGCGCGCTATCCATCTTGGATCGCAATACCCCTCAGGTGATTGCGATGAACTACCGCGTGCTAGACAATTGACTGCTCGCCATATGGCTGAACAACCGGTTAGAACGCCTGTTTTTCTGCGCACTTTTTGGAAAGACACATTTCGCCGGTCAACAATCAGGCATTACCGAAGGTCGCTGCAGAAGTATTTGCCTGATAAGAGCAATCCTTTTTCTGATGTGCTTAATACCATTTTGCATACAGTTAGGGGTTTTCGGCTAGCCGAATGCTACAGACGCTGCAATTGCACGACTTCTTAACTAAGTCTTTTCAATCTGGCGGCGTGCGATAGATACGTTATAAAGTTTTGTGGAAGTGGTTAACAAATAAAAACACTTGGTCAAGGTCATGCCTTGTAACTTTCCGTGCAAAAGAAGCAGGCACACGACATTCTATAACCACCGGTTTGTTCTTTACGACGACACAATTACTACTTAATTTTACTAGGTAGCTTGACTTGCTCCATCAAATATGTTTTCTTAAGTAGCCAGCCCAATATGCGAAATGACTTTACAGGGCAAATCGGATAGCGAGGGGTTGTACAAAACTCGCACAGAGAAGCCCCTGCGCAATCTCACGATGACGTTTTGAAGAATGCTGCTGTAGGCGGCCGATTCCGGAGAACATATCAATAAAAGAGTGCAAGGTGATTAATGTGAGGTACTATAGTGTAAAGCACAAACCAACGTAGTAGACACCGTTAATGTAGCGGAGGCATGACATTACTGAGGCAGTTAAAATGTCAGCACCACTAGGTATTTAATTGTAGACAAGCCAGATCGACTCAATTTATTCAATATGTAAAGTGCTTCCGTGATACGCTGTAAGACAGTATCAGTATCAGTTTATTAAGGGAAATATAGGCAAGCGCCTTTGAATTCCCTCTTGGTTACAAGTCGTCGGAGAAAAACATTGATAAATGGGAAGGTGAAAAAGGGATTTTGTACATACTCGCGGACAGCTGGCAGCTAGCCGAAAAAGAGTAATCATTAATGGTTACTTACTAATTACAAGTAGTATAAACACATATAAGATGGTACCGGGCTATGTGAGTGGATGTGGGGGTGGTAATTGGTAAGCTTGATGCAGGTCAAGTCTACACTTGAAGGAGTTCGCACAGGAGGAGGTTACAACATCGGTAGGTAGGGCATTCTAGGCTGCAACCACTATGTTACTGAAAAAGGACTTTCGTCCATTGGTTCTTGATTTCCCTGCGCGTAGTTTTAGGGGATGACCGCGCAAAGTGGGCGTGTTGGCTTGGGTGAAATAATCAGTGGGATCTAAACAACAGTCTAGGCCGTTGATGATGCGAAATGTTAGTATAAGCTCACCACGTAATTGCCTGTAGGAAAGGGGAAACAGGTTTAGGATTGACAGTCTGGTTTCATAGGGCAGTGCTCCCAGACCTTGTGTCATTTTGTTCGCCCGTCTCTGGACCTTCTCCAAGACGGTATACTCCTTGGCAGTCCAGGGTTTCCACGCCTGTATGGCGTATTCTAGTTGAGGTGGCACGAAGGTGCCAAATATTTTGGAAAAGCAGTCAGGGTCAAAACGCATAAATGCTCGCCTAATGAGTTGCAATGTGGCCGTAGCCGATTTAGCCGCCTTCGCGCAGTGCAGTGTTGGTTTGAGTGAAGATGTAATCCATACACCCAGGTCCTTCTGACTGTCAACCTGCTGCAGTGGTGTGCCGTTTAGAAAGTAGGTCCTGGGGTTGGGGGCTCTGAAGCCGCCGAGTTGAAGAAAGTTACACTTGCTTATATTGAAGGGCATAAGCCAGCGCTTCGACCAGTCTTCGAGCCTGTTTAAGTTTGCTTGCAGGTGGTCTGCGTCTGCCGCATCGTGAATAACTTTCCACAATTTTATGTCGTCGGCAAACAGGATGGCATCACAGTCTAGGTCCTTGACGCAGTCATTTACGAAAACGAGGAATAACGTGGGACCTAAGACTGAGCCCTGTGGGACGCCACTCACCACGCTTACATCTGAGGACTGTTGACGCCCGACCTGGGACCGTCCAGCCAAAAAGATCTGGATCCATACAAGAAGGCGTCCACGAATTCCAGCGTTGCGCAGTTTGTACAAGAGACGTTGATGAGGAACGCTGTCGAAAGCCTTTTTGAAGTCGATGTAGATGGCGTGCACCACCTTGCCTTCATCACGTGCTTTGGTCCAGCGTTCGAGCGTAAAGGGCAGATTCGTGAGGCAGGACCTACCACTTCGAAAGCCGTGTTGGGCATCAGAAAGGAGATGGTGCTGCTCGAGGAACTGCACCAAGGCCTTCTTAATGATCTTCTCCATGATTTTTCAACAGATGGAGGTAAGAATCACTGGCCTGTAGTTATTCGCAGACGCACGACTTCCACCCTTAAAAAGCGGAGTGATGGTAGCGGACTTCGAGTCAGAGGGCAGGCATCCATTAACAAATGAAGTTTGAAAGATCAAGGCTAACGGCATGGACATTTCGGAAGCTAGTTCCTTCAGCAGCTTGGCCGGGATTGCATCAGGGCCTGGGGAGGTCGATTCTTTTAGGTTTTGTAACTCATTCCGAACAATTGTTTCGGTGAAGAAGACGGCTTCGAGGGTAGGCGTTTCATCGTCTTCATAAGCGGGTGAGGAAAAAGCAGGTTCACTTGTCACGACTGACCGGAAGAACTGAGAGAGATGTTCAGCCTTATCCTTGTCATCGGAGATTTCCACACCCTCAGCCGTTCGCAGCAGTGGGACAGGATCTTTGTTCCGTGTGCTCTGTCATATGTAGCTGTAAAGAATTTTTGGATTAATCATGGCACGGTTCAAAAGATTCTTTTCAAAAGCTTTCCTATCTCTGGCGATGAGAATTTTGACCCGATTTCTCTGTTACTTATAACTGCTTAGGGATTCTGGCGTGCGATCCGTCAGCGATCTTGTCCATAGCTTCCTCTTCTTGTTAACTTCCTTCTTTAATGACGGAGTCAAACAGCGAGGACTATTTGTTAGTCTTCTGCGCATGGTTGGACAGTGGTTGGAGATGAGGTTGTGGACTAACTCTTTGAACTGACACCAAGCCTCTTCGACATCGCCGGAGAGAGTGGATGCCCAGTCGATAGGACTAAGATCCTTTTTCATCTTTTTGAAATCGCCGCGCCAAATATTAGGCCGTGAATCGAGCGGTTGTGTAGGAAGGGAGAATAACGTGTATTCCCACATGAGAACTACATGGTCACTCTGACCCAACGGGGGGAGGCAATTCACAACGTCGATGTTGTCAGACGACTTGGTGAACACAAGATCGAGGCAGTTCATCTGTTGGCCCTCTCGAACTCTAGTTGGAAACATTACGTGTTGTGTGAGAAGCAGGTTGTCGGAGGTACGCAGTAGCTGCTGGTGAAATGCTGCTTCAGAGCAGTCGGCTGAGGCCGAGCTCCAGTCGATGTGAGGTGCATTAAAATCTCCAACGATGAGAGTGGTCGGCCGCGTTGAAAATAATCTGAGCTCCTCCAGCAGTTGGGCATCAGCGTCAGGGTCATTTCTCGGGGGGCGATATACTGCCAAGATATCGAGACTTTGAGAGCCCGGTGCCCTTATGGTCAGCCATAATGGTTCGGTACTACAAGTCAGTTAGGCAGTTTTTTCTGAAACGTGCAAGCCGTTCTTAACAAATGTTATTATGCCTCCACCCCTTCTGTTTTCTCTGTCTCGGCGGAACAGTTGAAAGCCAGGGAGCATGAGCTCTCTATCATCAACCTGTTCGGACAACCATGTTTCTGTTATTGAGATAACATCTGGATGGAGGTCGTAGGTATGGATACGGAGTTCGTCCAGTTTAAAAAGTACACTTTGCGCGTTGGTATACATGAATATGAGTTTCGAGTTCATGCGAGATTTGTTTTCAAACCCGACACGGGCTACTGGGGTAGCTGTGCAGTCATTCGGATCGGCTCGATCCAGAGGGGAGCGGAATGTCGTTTGACAATCCGGTCTTTGTAGATTGTCAAGTTTTTCTCTCCGTTGGTTTGCCGTGTTCTCAATTCTAGGACAAGTTCGCGGCGTTTCATTCTCTCGGCAGGTGAGTAGTCCGGCTGAAAAAACACTTCTTTATGGGAATGCTTCAATCGAAAACGCCTGGAAAGTATTAGTTTCGCCTGCTCATTGCTACCAAGGACGATTTTTAGGGGTCGTGGTCGCGTCTTCGGAGCGGCATTTGTACGGCTACCAAGACGAAACGCCTTTAGGACTGTGACATCTTCTGTTGGTTGCAGCATTTCATTGAGGAGTTTCTGGAATTGCTCTAAGTCAGCAGCGAATCGTTCCCTCGGGGAACTGGCGGAGGACTCTGCGAGGCCCTGAATTATGACACAGTGGTCCTTGTTAAGCATTCCTCTGTTTTCTGCGATTTGGACGTCGTTGGCTGGCCTTATTGCCTCGTCGAAGTGGACTGGAGAAGAGGAAGGGGCTGCCATATTGGTATTTATGTCCCCGTGAAGTTCGTCCGCGGATCCTGTTAAGGCATCGTGAATAGTTGCACACTGGGATCTATCAACAATACCTCCCATCAGAGGGCTCTGTGGAGAGCTTGACCCCCATGAACTAGAGGCTTCCTCAGCTCGGTTCTTGACTCTGTTGACATGGGAATTCGCGGTGGCAGCTAATTCCACCCTGGGTCCATAGCCATATGTCTTTGCGCTAATTCATAATCCCTCTAAGTTAGGCTCAGGAAATGAGAACACTGTCTGGGAATTATTAAGATTGGGCGTCATCTGCCCCATTACTTCCACTTCTTCCGCTGGCACATTTACATTCGTTTCATTTTCCAACCGCTTTTCGGGTAAGGCTAATATACTCTCTTTCGTATTCTGGCGACTTTTTCCCTGTGGTGCTAAGTGTCGTCTTCTTCCTCTTATTCTTTTTTTCATCGGAAGCCACGACTTGATTACTAATAGTAGTTGTCTTATTCACCCCATAATTGCTTTCTGGGGATTCCTTACGCTGGATGGCTCTCGCTCTACTCCGAGTTAGCCTCTGCGTAGATAACACCGGGCGGTCCTCTGGAGGAACAGTCTTGTGTATAAGTTCCTTCAGATTTCTTACTTCTTCCTCTAGTTGATGCATCTTGTAGGCTATCGTTTGACAACCATTACATGAATATCCTACCAGATCCTGCGGTGACGAATTAATAAAGCTTTTAACTGAGCTGTCCAGCCGTGCGTCGGTGGTGTAGGGGTTAGCGGAGCGAGCCCTAGGTTTTGAGGTCCCCGGTTCAAATCCCAAGTACGCGTTACTTTGGAACACTAGTGCAGACTCCAACATTCTGGATAACTTTTCTATATACACAAAGAGCGTAGACTTAAGTATGAAGGAAAGGCCTTTATGACGATCTTTCGGTAGATTGTAACTTCATTAGCTGAATGGGAAGGTATGGTCGAGAAGCTTCCGAGAGCAAAAATTTAGACAAATACTTTGAGGCGATGATGAAACAATGTCTAATAGTAGAAAAGCGACTCAGCCTTTGTAGAAACTTTGGATAAATTGTTCTTCGGATAATCCGACTTTCTGGGCTTGCAAGTATGAGAAACGAGGAACGCCGAAATCGGAGTTCTGGGAATGCGCTGCAGGAGACTAGTTGGGAGGAAGATATTGATTAGTCGGATTCAAGTTTAAATTCCGGCAAGCTCTAAGAGCGTACAGTAAGTCCAAATCTCGGAGTAACTAAATTCCTCGGAGAGCGAACATTTGAAACCAAATTCGAAACGCGCGCGACATCTGGAATTGCATCTGGTGAATTGCAGCCACGTAATTCGCAGGGTTCCCCGATCTCGTGCAGCGCCGTAAAAATAATGCATTCCTGTTATCAAAACAACCTTTGGCATGCAAATCAACAGGCATTAATGATTTGGCTATAAACGCCTGAAATGGGATAAAATTTTAATTATCCGCAGGACAAAAAATTTAACACTGCATGCATTTAGCTAGGTTTGCAAGTTAACGCATACATTTCTACTTCGATCAATTTTGGCCTTAGTAAAGGCGCTACTTACAACACACATGCAACGCACTATATCACTGTGCATTTAAAGCTTTTCAAAATTGTACATGTACTGAGGGAGTAAAAATATTATTGACATCATTGTACATTCGATTGAGACAGTCAGCTCTTTCAAATGAATAATTCTACTCAGTCACTAAAAGATATTATCATCGTTATAAATATATTGCCACTGTTTATGCATCGTTTTTGATGCCGGCGTTGACTAAAAGCCCATCAAAGTGTTCGTAACCAGCTTGTACACCCATAGGAAGGGGTTAACTATATGGAAAAGAAAGTTGTCGTCTGCAAGATCGTATGTGACAACTGCAACGGAAAAGGACACGACGTTTTGGAATTATTATTACGCAAGACCTCTGGACGCTCCCCATTGTGTGATAATGTCGTCACTTATGGGTAATTTACTGTAGAAGCAACTTTTGTGACGGCTTTTAAACAGCAACATGTCGCTGCATAACGGAGATAACGATCGAAAAGATACAGAGACTTGAACCTACACACGAAAGATTAATGTAAAACAGCAAGGTAATCATCTATTACACGCAGACTGATCAATAAGGATCGTAACTTCAAGAAAGGACTTGAGAAAGAAAATTAGGAATATAGCACACAGACAGGGTGTGTAATTTAAAGAGTGGATATTTACAAGGACAAGCTGAGGTTGAACATGTGTTCTTACTGTTTGCATAGCTCTGGTTTCTTCCGCTCTGTTTAGAACGCCTCCAAGTGCGCAATATCCTAGTTTTTCGTGTCCGAACAACGGAGTGATGCCTATGTAAGGTGTGCGGCATGACAGACGGACGGGTGACTTTATATTTCTGCTTTAGAAAAAATTTAAGCAGTCGCTTAACTGACCAGGCTGCATTTTTCCTCGGGTTTGGCAAATGCACTTTCATCCACAAGTGCATGCGATTCCGATACCACGATTCAGGTTGGCGTACAATGGCGAGGCATCTGTTGTTCATAAAAAATAGGATAGTTTTTTTGAGGCTGCTGAATTTGAGTTTGAATGCTTTGTATGTTTATTCGATGACGCTCCTTAGTGGTCACCTAATTGTATTTGAAATGTTGTCACCCTTAACGTGCGGTTGTGTACGGGCACTGTACGACGTAGTAGGAAAACCGGACAGTCGATGCCACTCGTAGACTTGAGTGCAATGGAGTATGGTGTGGGTTTGCTGAGATAAGACGTGGACCAGACATTGAGGATGGACACAGAAAGTTTCACTCGGATGTTGTTTAAGGGAAAAATACACTAGCTAAATTAACTCCATGTGAAAGTCTGAGTGAATAACATACCATTGCGTAAGTGCCCAATTAGGCAGAACATACTTATACCTGAAGGATCAGTAGGACATACAACTCTGACTATCTCTACTACTTAGTAAATGGGTAATTTTGTCATACAGTTGTAACTGTTAGCGCGACGACAGCTAAAATATTGGTTAGATCACAAATGGTAGCCAGGCCCCGTATTATATGTGGCTGGGACGTCTGTTTACTGGAGCTATTTTGTGAAATTCCATAATCACATCTAACGCATCTGGCTTCCGTTTTAAGGTTGACGTTATGATTAGGGTACAGGTTAATGGTTTCCGATTTTTGGGCTAGGGTTATGTCTCTAGGCCCAGGTTTTCGGGTTACGGTTAGCGTTTGAGCGTACGACTAGTTATCTGTATTGCGGTTGAATATTCCAGTTACGACCATGTCTAAAGGTTACGGCTTCGTTTACGATTTCGGTTTGCGTTGGGATAAGGAATGCCTTTAGGGTTAACCGTTAACGTTTAAGTTTGCGGTTAGGATTTGGATCAAGGTTAGGATTAGGGTTATAATCGCCGTCCTCCTCCCCATTCCCGGCTACACACTACGATTAAGCCGAAATATACTTTCACCGCCTTAATCCTGAGCCCGTTTGAAACTAGGCAGAATAGCATAACCGACAAAGAGATAGAAAACTGGACTGGATATTACTTGCATCTTAGCTGTCAACGACCCTTCACTCCTCACGACGATGCATGCAACTTACAGTTTCATACCCGTGACCTAGTAGTCCGAAGTCCAAAGTACTTCCCTTGGGGGTTTTATGACTCGTAATTCAGTGCGGCAACCTACTGAAGACTGGTAAGCCAGACATATTCGTTCCAGCCTCCTTTGCCTTCGTCGATATTTCGCGCCAGTGTGCTCCTGCTGCCGGGTCATGAAAGAAAAGCCCAAAGCACGGCAGGCGGCGTGCGTTCCGTAACACGATCACTTTGCGCCTATCTGCCAATGTCTAATTTTTGGAAGGTGCACGAGACTGCCAATGTACTGGCATCAAAATATCGAATGTTTCTTCGTGTTTCGACATCAGTTTCTTATGCGCGGCCTCACGCTGAGCCAGTTTCGTAGTAACAGAGCCCAGAATTTCGGTCAGTGGTGTCGGTATGCGGATGACACCTTCGTCGTTATCGAACGGGATCAGGCACTGCAATTCAAAGAACAACTCAACGCCGTCCTCCTGGACATTAAATTCACGACGGAGGAGGAGAAAAACAACCAGCTGGCCTTCCTGGATGTCCTCTTCTGCCGCAACAGTTGAAGCGGCCTAAAAACCAAAGTGTTTAGGAATACGACAAATACGACGCAAATACTGAACTTCTATGGCAACCACTCGATCATACATAAACGCATTTGCGTAAGGGTGCTATGCGGGCGCGTTGAGACACACTGCAGTGAAATGGAAGACAAGGTCACTGAATTACAATATCTTCGACGGGTAATGAGAGCCAATGTTTACCCGCGCAACTTTGTCAACCAGTGCATACGAAAAGGACACCAGAGACCAACTCCAACCAGCCCCAAATTTTGGCGGGCTCTTTCGTACGTGAAGGACGTCTCTCACTACACTATGAGTTGGCGGATGTAGACAGGCCGGAAGCAACCATTAGGCGCCAAGTAATGAGGCGAAAAGACCCGCTGCCACGACAGGAAACGTCTGGAGTTGTTTACCGGATCTGATGTAGTTGCGGACAAAGCAATTATGTCGGAGAAACTGGAAGATTACTCCGAACGCTAATTGCCGAGCACGCAGCAGCAGTGAGGCGGGAATACGCTAACTCTCAAGTGACGGCACACTCGACGGGACCCGGCCATATTTTCAAATATCAAGAGGCCGAAATCCTTGCAAGGGGTGACAAACGCGTGAGCCGCGAGCTGCTCGAGTCATGGTTCTCAGGCCCGCACTCCATCAACAAGCACAATAACCTCCCAGTATCATATTCCGTCCCTGGGCAGGAGAATCAGTCACGTGGGGAGGACGCGGGCGTGCAATTAATACAGTCACAGGGAGCCAATTTGCCGAGCAATCGTCACACCAGCATCGAGCACGGATGACGAAATCACGGCACCTAACGACTCGGACTCGGATGGGCAAGCCACCACTGCATCAATAAGGACCCCAGCGGTGATTGCGAGGACTGTTAATTGCAGTGCGTATACGTTCCACGGCAGTCGCGTGCTATAAATATTGCACTTCCGATGCTACCATCACCTCTATCTGCGAATGTCTCTGATGATGGATTCGAGGGGTAATACGAAACGTCATGTCAATAAATTTCTTGTTCCAATGATCGCATCTTCATATGCTGAACTGTTACCTGGAACTCGCCTGTTCGCTATTGTCAGCTAACTTCACAGTGGTCAATAATATGTTGGCGTATGAGATACCACTAAAAAAGATCTCCTCCGTGACGTTATGTTCATCAGAACCCAAGACGACTACCCGGCTGCCTTTGGTGACGGCTATATTTGAGGTGCATTTCACACTAGTAGTCAGCTTTTGTATGCGTGCAAACACGTCGCAAATGTGGCGCTTCAGGACCTTTTGTTACAGCTTATGTTATGGCTGCTGCAGGTGAGGTCAGGCGGGTTGAGCTGACAGATGTGTTCACCTCAACACGAAACCTACCTACTACCGTTATTATCCAAACTGATAGCACAAATCCAACCACATCTCCAGAAAGAGCTGAACGCCAGACACCGAACCAGTCCTTCCATACACCTTGAAAAGGCGTATCCTAAAAACACTACTGCCAATACATCGGTAAGCCGACCTATGTTATGCGACCCCCCATTTTCCCAAAATTTCACATTGATGCTTGAACCAGTCGTCAGGAATGACATCCCATTTGCAAGCTAGTGGGAAATATAAAATTGTTTATGACCTGGTCAATATTCTCGATTACCAAAATACGGAGTACTTGGGTGCTGTGCGCAGCTTGTTCGTGATTTATGATTGAATATGAACGGATATGGGCTTCCCTTATGTCACTAGTTCAACCAAAACGCGTCGTTTGATTCAAGAATTTAACGGTCATTCTAATCATCATACGTTGGTAGTTATTTAAAATTGGTGTCGATATAGTGTGCTCCCGTGGGACGTTCGAATTTGGAGGCTTATCTAAAAAATACCCCATCACTAATGTGAATGCTTTTCGAAAATGAAATTCCATAATTAATAAATTCGTGATCAAATAAGCACGTTTTAGGCCCGTTTTTACATAAAATGCCCTTGTTTTGGGGTTTTACTGATACTGACAAATTTGTTTATTCATTTTTTTATTATGCGCTAAGACAACACTGACGGTTATCCCTATAAATAGCCTTAAATGGTATATAATAATTTTAGTTTTTTCAGTATGCGGTGAACTAAATCGGCGCCTTGCTTGCGGATTATTTTGTTCCACACTGCTTGCCTATGAGCATTGATTTATAAACAATCATTATCCAGGCAGTAACCTGGTTATTACTGAAATCAATAGATAACGGCTCAAGCGGCAGCCCGTAGGCTGCCAGTTTCCATAAGCATTTAAGATAAACTTCCAATAGGAAATGTTTTGTCCTCTTTGTCGCACGGTGGGGCACAGAAATGAGGCACCATGTTGCTTACAGTCTATAGATGCGTGTACGCATCTATTAGTCCCCGATCTAGTAAGAAAATCTGTTAGTTTTGCCATGTAATTGGCTTTACTACTATTATTATCTAATTATTATGTTTTTATTTGACTACTTTAATTTGTTTTACATCTAGTAATAACACCGGCATAAACTAAGCGTTGTAAAAAGTCATAAATGTTTGGGAACTTTTACATGTGAACAAAGTTTTTTTAGAAAGCAATCCCTAAAATATTTGTTGGCATTTTCGTTTGGTGGAAAGCATGTCCACTGTACGTTTTATACTTGAAGAAAAAAGAATAATTATGTTAGTTAATTTTTTGAATTTATGAACGTCTTTAAACCTAACCTGTCGTTTCATTGGCTTTAAGGTTTTTCAAACTATAAACTGCATACCCTCTATATAACGAAAGTTATGTTTATTTATATGCCATACATATGCATCAAAAGAACGCAGGACTGCCTACACTGGACATGCATTATGCTCTTTATTTTAAAAACATGCTTACACAAATCACTTATTCGGAACCGTATGACTTGAAAGTAACCGTGCATTACAAATCGCATAAACCTGTTTATAAGGCTACTGTTTATTGCCGAAATAAGGCTTTGTCGGGGTCTCCGGTTATAGACCGGACTTATGTCGCCTCCTAGCAAGGGCGTGGAAATAGGAACAACAAAGTGACGGCTGCGCATGATCCTGTATCATAATCTTTACAGTAACCCTGGTATAAAATTAGACCGCTGTCGTAAACTTGACCCTAACCTTTTGCTTCACCTTAACTCTCCAATTCTCACTAGCCCTCTACCATAATCCCTAACATAACCGGTTTTTACTAATATCTTTAACATGGCCTCTAACCTAATTCTAAACGCAGCCTAAATTCTAGTAGACATTGCACAAAAGCGACTTGTAGTATAAGCAATTACTGTTCTCATATCGAAGAGCCGAAGACAGAAGAGGACACAAGTGACTACTTTGGCTCGACCTACACCTGCACTTACGGCAAAGCCTCCTGGACTACAACAAAAACTTAACCAGGATTTTAACCTGCATCATATATTTAACTACATTCTGAACAAACTTCTTCTATTATCAGTTGCAATGTTTGAACTTCCTTCATTTTCGAGGAATTATGCAAACATCTCTTAACATCACGCATTTAGTTTCCACTGTTTTGTCGAGGACCTACGACGTTGATCTTATCTGCCTGCCATTGTTTATGTAATGTAAAATTTGAGTATCAGAATTGACATGTGCAGTAGCCCTTTAAAGGATATAGACAGATAGCCAAACATGTGGTAATTACTTTGCTGAGGAAAAATATGTTGAACCTACTGAACGTAGCAATAAATATCCTAAAATGACAAATTTGTAAGGGTGATATTTGGAGATACCGATTGAGATATACTAGTTGACAGATAAAACTAAGCAATTCCAAATTTTGTGGGCTGCAGCCTAGGTTTGGGTGTATTAGCTTTCACTTTATAGGTTAGTCGTCTTCATCTCGGTGCATATATATTAAGACGCGCGTGATTATTGCGCATTCAGCTAGGAACGACGCCCTGCACTACTATTTTGCAATTGGTTATCCTTCACTCTTTACAATTAGGCCTTGCCTGCATATCTAGCCCGGGTAAGTCGATATGTAATAAAACCCCACTTTGCGTAATGCGGTTTATAATCGATAATGTTTATTTTACGGTTTAATGTGTAACGGCCTACCACAATTTAAGACTTTCATTTGAGCTATCGCATTATTATGGGAAATGAGTTAAAAACGCACATGGCACGAATTCATTGCATTAAACGACGTCTTGAAATGCTAGGATATGTTCCTTTACTTGAAAAAAGGTCCCATTGGGAAGCAAACAGCCTTGGCCCAATCGGATGACCTGTTTATCCTTCATTTGTAAGAATGAGAGCTATGAACACTATGGTAAAGCTGTCCGTATCATTGACGCTAGTTATCTTCATTTGCCTTTTAATCAGGCTTCGTTTACACCCGGCTGTCTTGACAATAGACATACAAGTGCTCTCTGTTGCTTAAGAAGATCTCACAATGCCATTTAATAAGCGTTGTTTGCAGCAAAGGTAGAGCGACCCGTCGAGGTGAATCAAGCCCCAACGCATCTGTATTAGACCTATCCCTCACGAAGACAGAATGTGCTAGTACGAACCACAATGGTGTTAACCGAGTGGAAATTAAGTTATTGTAATTTTATCTGCGCGTAATGTTTACTGATAAAATTTGTGCACGACGGGAATGTCTAAAGACAGGCATTTACTCACAGCACTACCCAGGCGGAAGCGATGGCAGCGTGTCTTATATGATCTCAATCAGTCACGCTACCTGTTAACTTCTAAAAGACAGACAATTATTTCGTTTTTTCAGCTCTAAACGGAGGATATATAAAATTAAATGTTAACATTTATTGTATGAGAGGCAGACTATGTCCTGTTTCGTTTATTTATATTTAGAATTCTTAAAACTATAATTTCTAAGCTCATCATATGCAGCATGACGACAGGATGTTAATTACTCTTGCTTATACAGTTGACAAATAAGACGAAATCTATTGTAGAATTTTTGTTTCATGTAAGACCGCTTCCCAGTGGCTTCGAGGAAGGTGCAATCGTACTAC